GGGGGGGCGCTGCGCCTCGTGCTGCGTTTCCCCCTTCGCGCCCTGGCACCTCCTCTTGCCCGGGGGCTGCCCTGGGGGTAGATCCCCCCCCGCCCCGCTGTGAGCCCACCCTCGGGGGTGCTGGTTCTTGCCCGAGCCCGCCGACTGCACGGGCTGGCTCTGATCCGGAGTCACATCCCACTGCCTAAAGCCGGCCAAGTTCAATCGCCGGAACCGTTTCCTTTGTCTCCCCCCAAGAGCTCGTACCACGTCTAACGTTCAATGGGTGATTCAGGTCTAATGGAGTCCCCAGGGGAAACTTTGACCTTTCTTGTGGTTGCGGCTGCTTTGCTCATTTGAAATGGGTGTGTTTTCTAAAAAAGCGTTTGCTGCCCGACCCTCACTTGCTATGCAATCGTTTCTCAGGCTGAGAAAATCCTTCTCTGGCCAATCAGACTGGGTTGGGCAGCATGTAACATGACTGAGTCAAGCTAGGGATGACACAGGATTGGGGCTTCGCAGTGTGTTCTGAATACAGTGGGTGTAGACACCTGCCTGTTTGTGTGGCAAGGTTGTTGTTAACTGGGTTTGTGGCTTTCCGCAGTAGGACTGTTTTGTGTTGCAATGTTGTTGTTGACTGGGCTTGTGGCTTTCCGCAGTAGGAGTGTGCTGTCAGCTTGCTGCATGGGGTCTGAGTCACATGAGTCACCTTGATGTTAATGGGAGTTGTGGGACTAGAGCTGTATTGAGCTGCGAATACCTTATGGATTCAACCACGTTAAATACATGGGTGCACGTTGCTGTTTATCTTGCAAAAACTGATGGATGTTCTTATACAGAAGCTGATCCTCTGATGTAGATAAAACGTGTGGGAGCAATGAGTAAATGTACATCGATGAAACCTATTTAAGGAAATCATTGTAAACATGAGTAGACTTTTTGGGGGGTATCCAAATTTCAGTATACAGAAGCAGACGTTGTACCAAAACTCATGATCCCTTTTATAATGTTCTAGGGACACTTGACATAAGAGTCATTGTATTAAAATAATATTTTCTTTATCTGTGGTACTAATAAAATTTCACTCCGATCAACATAACTATAAAAATTTGATTTATTTTTTTTTATAATTGATATTAATCTCCCCCTCCCCCCCCCTGCATCAGTAGTGAAACTAGACAGGTTAACTTCACCTTCTACTTAGGCCTGGTCTACACTGGGGTGGGGGGGGGGGGTCAGTGTAAGATATGCAACTTCAGCTATGGGAATAGCGTAGCTGAAGTCGACGTATCTTATTTCGACTTATCTCCCGTCCTCACGGTACCGGATCGACGGCCGCGGCTCTGCCGTCGACTCCGCTACCACCGCTCGCCCTGGTGGAGCTCCGGAGTCAACAGGAGCACGTTCGGGGATCGATCTATCGCATCTAGATGAGACGCGATAGATCGATCCCCGATAGATCGATCGCTACCCGCCGATCCAGTGGGTAGTCTGGACGTACCCTTAGTTTTGCTGTCTGGTCTCGGGCACTAGCACGGTATTGTATCCCATTTAGGTTTTTTTATACAGCGCTTATCACCATCGTATCTGAGTACCTTCAAGAGTTAAACCTCATGATTAATACCAGTCAAGCAGGGTTCCTCTGTGCCTCACCTAGGGGGAATGATTGTGTATGGATGCCTTTCCAAACCCATGGCATGTCAGGCTAATAGAAAACCAAGGGGGAGGAACTGTGCTTTGCGCATGGGCTGGAAATGGTGGATAAGGGAGCGAGTGCCACAGTCTTGGGCCATCCCTCACGAGAGCCAGGTCTCCTGAGGAAACCAGCAGCAGAATTGCTCTATGTATTGTAGGTACTTACATGGCTTCCATTATCATAGCAATTGCTTATTTATTCTCACCACACCCTTTAGAGGTAGGAGTGTTCTTATCCCCATTTTACAGATTAGGAACTGGGATAGACAGGTTTAAATCACTTGTATTTTTTTTTTTTTTTTAATTAAATCAAGTCACGTTCAGGCTTTGAAAATTTGTGTTAATGCAACTTTATATTAAAATTTATTTGTTAAATTTTAAATGCCGTTTAAAAAATGCCACAGTGATAGGGTATCTTACTTGAATCTTCTAAAGCCGATATAGGCAAAAAACACAAGATTGAAAATTTAGCCTGTGATCCTGCAAACACGTATTTAAGCAGATATGTAACATGACTCATGAATAGTCTCTGACTTCCATGGGACTGCGCTCATGCATAAGTGTTTGCAGCTTGAGGGGCTAAAATTGTATCTTTATCTTAATTGCTCAGGGCCCCCATTCCTATAGATTGTCCCACAACCTTTAAATGTATTTGTCTTCATAACGCTTCTCTGAGGGAGCAGGGCCAGCTCCAGGCACCAGCTTCTCAAGCAGGTGCTTGGGGCAGCCGCTCCGGAGAGGGGCGGCACGTCCAGGTATTCAACGGCAATTCAGCAGACGGTCCCTCACTCCACCTGGGAGTGAAGGACCTCCCGCCGAATTGCCGCCGCAGTTCGCGATCGCGGCTTTTTTGTTTGTTTGTTTTTGGTTTTTGGTTTTGGCTGCTAGGGGCGGCCAAAACCCTGGAGCCGGCCCTGTGAGGGAGGGAAGTGCAATTTCCCCATCTGTAAAATGGAGATAATGATTCACTTCCCCAAGTTTGGAAGTTGGTGGCTGAAAACCAACTGGAAAACTGCATAGAACAGGTGGCTGCCTTTTTTTGCTGTTCTCTCCCAACCCTCCTGGCCAATGCTGTCTGTTGAGACAGCAAATTCTTGGGCGGATATGGTGCCCGCCTCAGTGATGCGGATAATGGGACCTCAGTCTTGATTGAGTCTTTGAACACTCCAGCAACTCTAATCACAGTAAATTTGAGTGGAGGTGACAGGAGAAATGTGGCCTACTTTTTTTTATCTTCTTTCTAGCTTCTGATTCTGCATGTGTATCTCAGCATCCCATACTCTGACACGTGTTGGTGTGCAAATTATTTCTGCTACTGGAAGGATGGAAGTCTGGAATCCAAAGTAAAGGGTTCTTGTTCAAGGTCATGTACAAGCCCAATGCTAATTTTGCTGCATGTAAAATTCTGCAAAATGCAGCCATGTATTATTAAAGATGGCAAAGAAACCTGAAAAATCTGAAGGATATAACATGTGGTCTGCTCAAGCACACCCATTTATGGCCTCCAGCATCCAAAGCACTATCTTGAAGGATCTATTCTGCTGTTTAAAACTTTCTGCCATTGAAAGGAGAATAGTTGTGTAGGTACGATTCTCCAGTGGTACACAAGCTTGCCAGCAAACGGTTTAACAATAAGCATTGTTGTACAGTTTAACAATAAGTGTACTTGGTGCTTCACAGTGATTGTAGACCAGAGTTCTGCCATGAGGTACTTAGTCTGGTTCCCTCCAATATTTTAGGGAAGTGTACAATGGGTGCAGGCTAAGAAGTGGTCTCAATGTGTACTCCAAATTGGGTGAATAGGTGAGAAAACACAAACAAATTACTACTTCAAGTCTTGGTGTAGGGGAGGCTTGAAGGAAATCCAGCCCTTTCTGAAATAACGTATTCACTACTTGGTTACAGTAATGCCTACCTCTTGTATAATGCATGTTTTTCATCCATAGGCCTCAAAGCACTTTACAAAGGCGGTTGGTATCATTGTTCCCATTTTACAGATAGGGAAATTGCGCATGTCAATTCCTTCCCTGTGCTTCAAGGGCTCCCAGCAAAGAAGTGGCAGAGCTGTAAATTGAACCTGGGTCATCTGAGTCCTAATCCAGTGCTCTGTCCAGTAGAGGAAAAAAACGACCCAAGCCGCCATCTTGTCAGCAAAGAAGGAAGTGAGAAATATTGTAACTTTTTACTTGTGGGAGCTACTTGGCTATTGCAGTGATGGGGGCCATATAAGTACCTAGGCAGGGAATGCCGGTAGCTGGCAGGCTCAAAAATAAAAGCATGCTGAGGAGTTCACTCCTATGATTTTGGGGTGTGATTTTTAATAAGTCAAAAGCAAAAGTTGGTTCTTAAAAGTAAGGGGTGGGCTTTTTATAGCAGAACAACTATTGGGTCATAAAATATCTCCATCTTTAGCTTGCTTTTCTCTCGGGATTATCAATGACAAGTAGCTTTCTATTCATTCTCCTTCCACAGTCACCTCTTTCCTTATTCTTGAGACAAACAAAATGGTGCTGTGAATAAGGCATCCTAAGATTCAAAGTCCCACTATTAGTTATGTGAAAGCCTCATTCTCTTGTCTTTTAACACAGGTACCTTGGTTTTAGTTGCTTTGTAAAGATGCAAAGTCCTCCTGGATGCTAGTCTCTGTGACTCCAAACCTCCAGCTTGCGAAGAGCTTGCAGATTCCTGATCTGTGATCTTCTGCTCAGGCACTAGATGAATGCTAACAGAAATAAGCAGGAAGTTCTGCATGT